AAAACAAAATCCCGTTCCTTAACCACGACAGAACGGCTGGCTCACAAATCTCAGCTGAAATACCGCGCTATGGAGAAGTTCGCCATAATCCCCAGTGTGGGAATTTTAACGGAACATTTTGTCGCAGAATTCTGGTTGTCGAGATGAATGGGCTAGCAATTTGACTCCAGCAACAGCTGCTGCAATCAAGCTATAGCAGCAATAATTCAGCAACACGAGACTCTAAGTTCTCATAAACCATCACAAACGAGCGCGCACCAGCACAGTAATGGCCGTGATGGTGCATTTCCAAGACAGTATCACGAAAAGCACCATATACGCACCAGAAAGCTCCTGGCATGTCGCACGATGCGCTCAGGAGCAGCACACTCCACACTTGGTATCTGCGCACTGACGAGTGCCGCGCTACTAGACCTGACGCCAGGCACGCATGCCAGGTGACTGGAGTGAGGGATGAGAGAGGAATGTGAGGAGACCGAATGTGAGGGACGCTCTCGGGCTGAGCGTGTGAGATGATAGACGTCTCGGGGCCTCGGGCTGAGCGTGTCGGGAAGATGACAGCTCACTGTAGGAGCCGAAGAACGAAACCCGAAGATATTGCGACAATAAATGATAATTCCCTGTTAAGTCTACGGACTTTGATACTAAAATTTAAGTATCTCTATGGATACTGTCATCACATTAAGCGATTCGAAATTGAAATATGAATTACTGAGGGCCAGCTAAATTATTCCTTGCGGACTGTAATATATAGAGTCGCGCACATAAATTCCTGCGCTCAAAGTTCCTTTCAAGTAAATTAGCACACGTTCAGTTTCAAACTTACTGTGAGTTTGCGAGCCCTGCACAGTCAAGTTTTGTACGTCTAAGACCGCTCTCACCGGAACATTTTTCCTTTCCGACACCTAAACAGCGTCCGTAAATACCGGCGAGCAAAGCGCCCAAGTGTTGTCTACACTTCATACGGGAGTTTTTCTTACAAACAGCGACGACTTGGAGCTCAAAATTCAGAGTAGCTAATACGCCTCAAGAAGTTCGAGCAGAATTATGGAATCCAAAAAGTCAAGGCATCCAAAGTTCTAAGCACGTTGTGTCGCATGGAGATGCGTGAAATCTTTAAAATTGTTGTAGGTTAAAAGAATGAAACATTGCAGGAATATTCTGGCCGGAAATTCTCTATAAAAACAGGAAGATATTTTCGGTGTACTTTAGAATTGCGATCACTTGTAAGTGGTGATACGAATAGCGAACTTTAGAGTTCCGAGTAAAAATACCGAGCATATAGACTGTACTTGAAAAATGCGGAAAATATGCATATATGAACGATGTTAAACTTTCTTCCCCAGCCAAACTCAAATTTCATTCTAAACTGGAGTGCTATTTGTCGACGCTCCGCAATAAATTTCTTCAAGAATTTAGCCTCACTTGCTTGCACGCAAAATGTACGGAAAAGTACAAGCTTCAGATAAAAACAAGAAATTAAATTCGTAAATAAGAGCACACGGAACCAAGTGTGTGGCATACTTACAACCTGATGATGTGGTTGATATGTTTTTTTTTTACGAATCGGCAGACGGGGTTAAGAAGGTAACGTATTGGCTATTGACTGATTTGTATAATGCGGTTTGTTCTCGAGTTGGGGCAAACGGAGCTAAGGTGGCATCAACTTGCTATCAGAGGATGTTTATTAGAGTTTACAATAGGCCAGTGCTCTGCGTTTACACTTTGAAGGGCATCTTCCAGAAGTAATGGATAAAAATACTTTTTCCAAATTTACACCTTCCGAAGATTTAACCTCCCACTTTCGCTTCACTTCAAATGTCCCATCTATCCTAATCTGTGCCAAAAGTGTTGATGGGTATTAATAATAAGTAAAACTAACGTAAGGCGAGCTCACGAGAAATGATACGAGCCACTGAGCGCTGATACTTGACCATGGATAAGAATAGGAGGACTGGGAACTCCACATCCTTAGAATAGAACTATCCCTTGGCTGAAAATACACCAAATGTGTTGAGGCCGTATTATCAAAATTTTTTTTACGCGCGTAACGGTCTAAGTAGCGGCTGATTTCACATCTGGCAGAGTTTCGATCTCATACCTACTTTTGATAGAACGGCCTCTTTATTCTATTTATTAGCACAGCCATATAACGAATTTTGCACGCAGCCACACAACAGTTGCTCATTATTCGCTGCCCAAAGAAAGACCGCAGATTGCGTCATAGAAATTTCTGAGATAATTCAGAAAATTAATGGGTCAAATGGTCCGAATAATACCCTATTTTCTGCATGTAGCACTGATACTCATTTTTGCTGGGAGAAAATGGGTCAGGATGACCCACACAAGGGTGGTAATGCATGGCTATTAGGACAAGGCACCACTCAATTCTCTGGAGTGAAGGTGAAAGTCCAACGAGGAATGGACGAGTCCAGCTCAAAACTGAGCGCCGGATCAGCGAAAACTGACGTGCCGGAGGGAGGCTAAAGCTTACGATCATCACTCTAAAATAAAGTCCATTAGTAAAACTATTGTTTCGCTTGAAGTTCATCGTGTATGAAGAAACATCTATGAACTGTAAATTAATTGGACGATTTTTCATCCTAGTGCTGTATTTAAACCGTATGTGATAGTGAGTTATTGAACATGAAATCTGTCGATGCTTAAGATCCAAACTTTAAACATAACTTGGGATAATATTAATAATATGCATTTAAAAATTACTTTTAAAGACAACACTTCTAAAGAATCCAGTGTCTCTGATGTTACACATGTGCAATGAATTTATAATTTTATTATCAAATATAAAAAAATTTAAATTTTTTTTAATTTAATTTTTTACATTTTCAAATTTATTTATCCTGTCAATTGAATCATGCATTGTCTCCAACATTACTCAAGTGTGTAAAATTTCAGATCGATTGAAGAGGTAAAAGTGTGTTAAATATCGATTATAAAATTTGTAACAGACATACAAACAAACAACAAGAAGTGAAGTTAAAGAGAAGTGTTGTAAGAAAGTATAGGATAACAATAGAAATAAAGAATATATTCTGCCTATATAGATGGAGAAAGAGGAGACCCCGAGCCTCTTTGGTCGTTCAATCAGAGAAAATTTTACTGCGAATTCAATTTCAGAGTCATTCAGAAAAGCACATTTTATGCCTTTCTGATAAAATTCAGTAATTCATATTTTGTGTGTAAAAAATATGAACTAATTACACAGAGTCAATTAAAAGTCAATATCATCTTGAGGCACTTTGTGGGCGCTTTGGATTATAAATTGAATACTAGATCATGTCCCTGTTAAATAATTTTTAATGCTTAACACTTTTTAGGAATAGGTTAGAATCGCAATCTCTGTGAGATTGTGCAATTTAAAATTTAACGTGAAATACTGTAATTTATTTTTAATACCAACTTCTGAACCAACAAATCCTTCAAATAAAACACCCTCACCATTTTTTTATCTCAATCCGCTGAAATAAATTATCTGAATTTTGCTCTAATTTGGCGTCGACGAGACACAAATGAAGCCAAGAAAACAAAATTAACACCAACGAAAAATGAAATGTCCGTAAAAAACATTAAACTTCCCAAAGCCAGGTCAAATGATATTGAGATACAGTATGTGAATATTAACTAACTTTCACCGATGAAAAAGGTGGAAAAAAATTGTGTAATAATTCGAACTAGCGATAATGAAGCGAGTGGCATTCAAATGGTGGAAGTACTTTCGAGAAGTTTGCTAGAGCATCACAGGTTAAAACAAGCAAAAAATCTTAAACAGGATAAAATGATTTTTTAGATTATTTTTCGATACAATGTTTTTATCCTAAAAAACAAATCTAAATCATTCTTCAAGTACAGACAAACAGGGCGTTCTTTACTTAGCATTCATTAGTTTTATTATTATTATTATGAGTATTTGGGATAGAAGATTATAAAATTACTGGAATAGTCGGTCCCGGAAAACGTCGGGCAAAAGTACGCGTAGAATATATTTTTTTAGTTCGGTTTATACCTAGAAACTTTATCGAAAACAATTTTGACAATTCTATCCAATGTAACGCCAAGTTAAAGATATCCTGAGGGACCGAAACATATAGCTACCAATTAAAAACACCATTTTTGGAATTAATGGTACTTCAATTTATGACAAAGGTATGACATATACTTTAAAAATGAATAAAGAGTTAGTATAGATGGAGGTCCTAATCGAGTCACGAATAGCGTGTTGGGACATTGAAGCCCATGTAAATATATATGATAGATTGATTGGCGATAAAAAGCTCAAAAACGCTATTCGCTTGTTCGAAATTTTAGCCAAAGTCACTATTTATGTTTCAAATGAAACAAATTTATCATAAGTTCTAGCCACGTTGGAAAAATTCACAAAATATTGCATTTGAAATCAGTTTAACGACGTTATAAAGATCAGTTAGTGTGCTCAGTCAAACTGTAATGGCAAACAATAAATATGATTGAATGTAATTCAAAGAAATCATAAATAGAATTTTCATGCGTAGGACGGTGCAATAATAATTCAAATTAAGTGAACACCAAATATTTACCAAGACGGGTTCGGATTGTGTGAACTAATATTGAGAAGAAAGCCAAATAAATTTATTTGAATTAATATAAAAAGTTTACATAGACTTTCTGCTAACGTAAAAACAGAAATTACTTATTTTAGCAATAAAAAAGGTCAGTAATTAGATACAGGGCTTAAATAACGACGTAACAAAGACCAATAAAGAAAACAAGTCCTTATTAAAGGCAGAAATTACTTATTTTAGCAATAAAAAAGGTCAGTAATTAGATACAGGCTTAAATTACGACGTAACAAAGACCAATAAAGAAAATGAGTCCTTATTAAAGGTCTCACAAAAGCGTTCGAGGAGACAGTTATCGACATAATGTGTCAAAAATACATGTTATGTCAAAAAAATACACGGTAAGTAATTGTACACGCAAAAAACTAAATGTTCAGTACTCACCGGGGTGGTGCGCGGTAGTGAGAGAGGTGCGCAGAGTACATCCAGAAGAAGAGTACCCGCTAAGCGAAGACGAGGCGCGGGACAGAACACTAGCGCCGCTGTTGCCGAAGCTGTCGCGACCCTCGCATCGGGCGCACGTTCGGCCGCCGTTGGACGGCGCAGGCTTAGGCGGCCGCGGCAGAATCTTCGGCGGACCGCCGGCATGTCGCCGCAGCTCCGGCGACCGCAGGTGCATCGGACGCCGCGGTTCATTGCTGCTGCTGCTGCCGAAACGCAGCAGGGATGAGGTGCTGCGCAGCAGTGCTGAGGGAGCCCGCAGCAGCGTCCTGCACTCCCTCAGCACGCTCGACACGGCGCTGTTATCTGACGTGATCGTGCTATTCACAATTACGATTCCGATCAGGACGGTTGAGAACAGAAGATTTGTGGGTGCAGTAATGAAGTTTAATGATAATAAACTGAATAACTATTCTCTGACGTTAGTCATGGGCAGATAATCTTCATGAAGAGAGTAGAGTCAAGCTTTAAATTACTTCGCACTTCGTCTCCAGTAATAGAAGCTGTGCGTAAATCCTTGGGATTGTCCTGGCACAGGTACTCAAAAGCAAGCAAAATTGTTCTCTGAAACGGAGACGTCGATCTTGAAGCGTTAATTTCATAAGAACTAAGCTGCTATGCAATGAGCAATAAATAATCATGGGAAGACAATAGAATGTCAGTGCGATTTTAATCCAATTGCAAGTCCAGTAACAAGAGAAATATTTCTGGCGTTGTTTCCAGATTTTTTTTCCATGGATTAAGGCCACTGATTAAGGAAGTTATTCAAAAGAGATTATTAAAGTTCAAATGTTTTAACCATTATCATTAAATCCCGAGTTTAATTACTCACATGTCTTCCAATCACTCAATTTTCAAAATTATTTATTGTCTTGAATTTATTTCTTATTTCGGCAAGAAAATCTCACAAGAAGTGATTTTCAATTCACAAATCTCGGTTCCTGCTCCAGGTATGTGACATCAACGGGTAAGCTTGCACTCAATATTTGACATTCAGACGTCGAATAAAGTTTGATAAAAAATCAGCACGAAGATAAAAAACTTCAGTCCCTCATTTATTTCGCCTAAATGTTTGGGCAAAAATCGAGGGATGAAAGGAAACAACACTCGTGCCTCTACAAAAGTCAAATGCAAATTCTGCTGCCGACGAAAAGTTTTAGGATAAGAACGCCAACGAACCAAAGAACGTTCCGCCGTTTTCATGGAGGAATGCCGGGGAGAAACGACGTCTTCGTGAATGCCGAAAAGACGTTGAACGTTGTCAGTCAATTTTGTAGAAGCAGCGACTGTGGAAAAAAGGAGACAAAGTGGATTAGTAATCGCGCTGCGGAGTGTGGCCGAGTTGGGGAAGGACATTCAGAATGAAGATATATCTGGACCGAAATGGACTGCGCGACTGAGTGCATTCATAGTGAACCCTTTCATATGTTATCTTTTTTATTAACATGATGTGGATAAAGGAGACAAAAATTTACAAATATTTGTTGAAGTGGAGTTTCAAGTACGTTATTTATATTTTACCTTACATTGCGATTGAGAACGATACTAGACTTCCATATTACGAGAACTTCCATAAAAAAATTAATGCATGTTATAAAAGGAATAAGATGCATTGTCGAAGCAAATGAAAACAAAGCCTTAAATTCGGCGACTTGCATCGGTCTTGCGGATTGTCAATAAATATTTGAATTAAAATAAACTCGTATCAGATATCCTTTGAAGCACGATAAGTAAAACATTAGTAAAGTCTGCTGAACGACAAAAAAATGAAGTTGAAGGTTAGTTTCGTTTAGTTTAGTGGCCAAATGTTTACTGGCGCTTCAGCTATTTACTGTAGCTATCCCGCAACGAAAGTCAAGATGAACATCACCAAAGAGGTGGAAGGTCTCAGTTATCGCAAGTTTGTCAAATCAAAATTTGTTCCATCACCCACAAGGGGCGGAATGTCTCAGTTGTCCAGCCCGCTGAAGCTGGTTCGAAAGAAGCAGCGTTAGCATCTCAAAGAGACGAAGTGACAAGGAGGGACAGGTGAAAAGCAACAGAAACGAAGACACTCGAACAAAAAGTCGCTTACACGGTACGTCGGCTACCCGCACGAGAGAGGCAGAGAAGGGAAATGTAAGGAATCCTACCTACAAAATACTTAACCCCACAACACGAAACTTTAATCCAGTAACTAAAGTGTACGGGCTACGATGAAAGCTAAACAAAAAATTTTCACATCACTTAGGCTGTATGCCCAGGAGGCCGCGGTAGGAACTTTTCCACAAACTGTGGTAGCAGTGGCGGCACGACTCGACGATCTAGGAGAGAATTTAGCAGAAGCAGCCTTAATTTCATCGAGAATAGCGGTAGATTCGTGCAGTTGTTACAGAGATAACAACTGCTGAAGCATCGTGCAGTTGTTACACAGATAACAGCAACTGCTGAAGCATCGTGCAGTTGTTACAGAGACAACAACCACCGCAGCACCAGCAGTAGCACGCAACAGGAACAGAGACAGCAGCAGCAGTAGTTACAGAGACAGAAACCACTGTAATGACACGCTGTACAGTTTTACAGTCAGTGATCAGCCCTGGAGACAGTCTGCCAATGATACACCTGCAGTGCTGGGCTGGCTGCCCTAGGCATGCAGGCTCGGTTAGAGGCATGTCGCCTGCTATCTCGTATCTACACTCAGAAAAATTAGTGCAGAATCCATAGAGTGAAGCCCTTTTTAACCTAGTGTAGGTCATCCTGACACAGTTTGGCCCGGTTAAAAGGCAAATTAATGCTGCGTCCGCTCTCTGTTTGTGCTGTGGGTAAGAAAATGTGTCTCAATTGGGACAATCAGGCCAATTAATCTTTCTGAGTGTACGCTGGAAAAAAATAGCTTTGAGTTCAATTCTTATTGCGCTTACTACACATCCCGGTGTTATTTGCATGGCTCAGATATTGCTGGAAATTTTTACGTAGCCTCGCAAATTGCTAACTCCGTATCATTGGCATCGAAGGAAAAAATTAAATCACAAAGACAGTCATGATTACATGACGGTACAAAACAAACAGGCATAGAGTGAACTGTTTTCAATGATTTCTATCCTGCCGATTGTCGAAACCAGGCGAGATATTATAAAGTTTGATGGAGGAATTTGATGAAATTTGAATAAAATTTGTTATAAGTTCTCTAACTCTAAAAATTTACAATCGCTCGAATCTACCCCACATAAACTCATCTTGATTGATAAGATTGACAAAGTAATCAACACGTAATTTATTTTGTTTAATTCTCTGAGGTAAAACAATTTAAAATATCCGGTGCATTGCAACAGAAACGAGCGCTAGAAAAAGCTGGGGTACATACATTATATCCAGGCACCAAATTAGGATTATACATTTTATGCAGGCACAAAATTAGGATATACCTATACGTTAAATACAAGCACAAAACTTAGGATATTTGTATATTAAATTAAGGCATAAAGGCATAGATAAAAAATAGAAGATATTTTCCAGTTATCGTGAAATAATACACACTCCAATAAAAAAGTTCCTGCCTTTGTCAAGGGCTATTTCTAAGATAGTGGCAGTTTTTACGAGGGCTGTGCCCCGCACCCACAAAAATTTTCCTTATTACTCGTTTTATAGGAGCAGCATTTTTTTGCTAACTTCGACGCTTTCTTCACAAAATGAGAAAGACTCGTGAATGTTTTACACTCATATGGATATTTCTAACAATAAAACAAAATTGTGAAGTCAGAATGATTCAATAATATTATCTAGGCACGCAGCCCAAAAATTATCGCATTCATCAATGGTAGGGAGTTCAATTGATCACTTATGTTACATCACAATATGAAATACATTTCAATACACTTTTCTTAGAATCTTGATACGTTTAATCGTTGTCCAATTTACTTCCTAAGTTCTTTCAGTTTGTTTAGTTTCACATAGACATCGTAATCATCAATGGTTGAAGTACGACGTAAATATGGTTATGGCCAAGACTTCTACACGCGCACCTATAGAACATCTATCATTATTTATCATCATCTATTTGATCTTTTATATTAAGAGATCTTACGTTTGGTTAAAGAGGTATTAAACTAAGTAAATAACCACCTAATTTGACCAAAAAAAGCAATTTAATTTCGACAGGATAAATGAGCGAAACGGCGTAATTGAAGTTCGGTAACACTTGTAGATTTTGAGACAATTGAATTATTTAAACAACGGAACAAATTTTCTGCCGCATAACATAATTTTAAAATTACTGTCATCTATCATGAATTGAGTTCATTTCTTGTCAAAAGTCTTGTTATTGGAGTCCAGTTTTCGTTCTAAGAAACTCAAGCTTGGCTATTTTACATTTTCAGTTGTGCTCTCAGTTCTGATATGAGTTTTTCGTGCAAATTCAGCATTAAGAACAGAAACTTTGGTGGCTCTCAAGCTCACGAAATTTCAATTAAATGTGAATAATCACCATTCACGCAGTAGAAAACTTTAATTCGTCATTTGATTAATTCCAGTTCATTACAAAGCACTGAGCAGTAAATTTCAAAGGAAATTTATTCACGTAGCAATATAATTATTCCTTTTAATAATTAAAATATAATTGAACATATTTTTTTCAATTTTCCATCATTATTGTCATACGAGGGAGTTTCAAGCTGTTCAATTAATGAAAAAAAATTAAAGATAACCCAGAGAGACCCGAAGTTATCTCTCGTCTACAATCAAACGCTAAATTTGTATTTCTTTTAAGATTTTGTTATCTAGAAAAACATGAAACCTGCAAGTTTCGCGAGATAATGTACGAGTAATTTATTAATTTGTAACTTTTAGTCATGCAAACACCCTGTATATTTCTTCTCGCAGAAGTGGTTATAATATACAGTAAGGGAAATATTGCGCCGAAAAATCATCTATTTGGTTAAACCAAATTACTCGACCGATATTTGATATCAGAGTCAACATTTCTAATTGAAAAATAAACAGAAAAACTACGGAGGAAACTATTTTTTCATTAAAACAATTATAAATGTTAGTCTCTCTTAAATTATACTTCAGTAGCTTTGTAAGTAACAAGCGCATTTATTTTCTCTCTTCGCTCGTACAAATGAAACGATACAATAGCATATAGGTACAATCAAGAGCATTTTCTTCTCTTCTTAAAAAAATAAATGTAACTCAGTACTCACTACAGTGAGTGACAGAGAGCGCATTTTCCCGTCGACGAAAACGCGACGTCACGGACGGACAGACAGACGGACGGACATGGCGAGCACAATAACGCCTTTTTCCATAAGTGAGAAAATGCGCTAAAAACACGATGAAATCGAAGTTTGAAATCACACACAGAAATATCTAAATAAAAACTATATTAGGATTTTAGAAACGATCTTGCACGTGTTTTTCCAATATCTCGTCAAGCTCAAGGACTGCATTTAACTGAACGCCACAAAAACAGACGTCGAGGTCGAGCTGTGAGAGAAGCAGATACCAAATAAGGTGGTGTAATTTGCATACGTAATATGAGGTAGGCTGGACGTTTCAGCTCAGTAAGTGGTCAATAGAAGCAAAATCTGTATCGATAGCCTGACATATGTTCTACTGTTGGTCAATTGGAGGTGGCTTTAGAATGTCTTTGATGTATAATAAGCTTAATAGCAAATAAAAATGTTTTCTAAAGATTATGATCTAATAAAAATGAAATTTTTAACAAAGCATGGAAGGAGCAAATAGTTCTGTAAAGTAATTTGAAAAACTACTTGCTTCTTCTAAAGAAAAAATTGCATATACTAATATAAGTAGAATTATTACCGGTGTGCTTACTTTTTTACAAACGAAATAAATAAAACCTTCCGTAACGATAGGAAGAACATGATCATTCTTTTTTCTGATGTTATTTTAATTCCAAACAATGTTTATTTCAAACCGAAACCAAAAGTCAAGCAAGAGAACATTGAACATAGGAAATAATAATTTATTGACTAATTGTAACAGATATATGAAGAAGTCATAATCTATTGATTCATAGAGAAACAAACAATATTCGATAAAAAGTCCCGAATATAGGCGCTTTAAATTTAATCTGATCACGTCAATCTCTGATCACGTCAATCTCTGATCACGTCAATCTCTGATCACGTCAATCTCTGATCACGTCAATCTCTGATCACGTCGATCTCTGATCACGTCTGATCTCTGACAGCTCCAAGCTCTGACCACACCGATCTCTGACAGCTTTAAATTCAAACCACGCCGATCTCTGACAGCTTTAAACTCTAACCACGCCGATCTCTGA